GGCTGGCAGGCTGGTGGGAGAGCAGGGCAGAGTTAAGGGTGTCTGCCCGCCTGGTGCCCCACAGCAGGGTTGTATCCCAGCACACTGGCCCTGGCACGGGGGGGCCGCCGTGGCCCTCAGGGGTCCTGGGTCCTGCCCCAGCAGCAGAGAAATTCTGGGCCCACCTGCTAGGACAGTTGCCCAGAGCCCCTCGCACCGTGAGTGTATCGACCCCCATCCTGCAGCTGCCAGCCCCCCCGAGCCCCTCGGCGGGTACCCTGCCCCCCCCCGCCAGCTGGTCCAGCCCCAGTGCGGTGTCTGCAGGGTGGGGCAGGACCCTTGGCTCGGCCTCCCCGCTCGGCATGACAGTGACCGCCCCCCCGCGCCTGCGGGTGGCTGGCTCCGTTGGTGCTGTGCTGACCCCTGTGGTCCTTGTCGAGGGCAGAGCCTGACCCGCTTTCCCCACCCCGCCAGGGCCCTGACCCGCTCCTGTGCCCCCTGCTCTCAGCACGGCCCCAGGGCTGATGTCTGGGGCGCCTTGAGCAGAGATGCCAGGGCTGCGGGCGCGTCCGGCGAGGAGCCAGCCCCTGGGTCAGTGTGTGGGGGCAGGCCTGGGTCACAGCGCCTGGGCTGCGGGCAGAGTCCAAGTGCAGAAGGAGCCTAGTGGGGGATAAAGGAGGCTTGGCACGAGTCCCCTCTCCCTCTGGCTTGGCGCGAGCCCCCCTCCCCCGGCTTGGCGCGAGCGCCCCCCAGCCTGGCGCTGCCCCCCCGGTGCTGCCCCTGATGCCGTGGCATGTTGCAGATGCAGACGAACGAGGCGCGCATCGAGCGCCTGGCGGTGAGCGTGTGCACGGAGCTGAGGCTGGCGCGGCGGGAGATCTGCCAGGACGCCGTCCGGCTCTTCGGGAAGGACGTGGTGTCGGCCTGGGTGCGCTCGGTGCTGCGCCCGGCCGAGATCTGCGGGCTGCTGGTGGGCGCCCGCTGTGGGCACTGGGACATCCTCTCCGACTGGAACGTGACGCTGCCCGGCACGCCCAAGCCTCCGGTCGTGCCGCCCGCGCCCCCCCCGCCCGGCGCCCCCACCACCCGCCTGCTCTTCCTCACCGACCTGCACTGGGACCAGGCCTACGCGCCGGGCAGCGACCCGGCCTGCAAGGACCCGCTGTGCTGCCGGGGGGGGCGGGCGCAGGGCCCCTCCCACGCGGGCGCCGGCTACTGGGGCGAGTACAGCAAGTGCGACCTGCCGCTGCACACCATTGAGAACCTGCTGCAGCACCTGGCGCGCGGCCCCCCCTTCCAGCTGGCCTACTGGACGGGCGACCTGCCCGCCCACGACGTCTGGCAGCAGAGCCGCGCCGACCAGCTCCGGACCCTGCGCACCCTCAGCGCCCTGCTGCGCAAGTACCTGGCGCCCCTGCCCGTCTACCCCGCCGTGGGCAACCACGAGGCCTCGCCGGTCAATGGCTTCCCCCCGCCCTACGTCCACGGCAACCAGTCCTCGGCCTGGCTCTACGGCGCCATGGCTGAGGCCTGGGAGGGCTGGCTGCCCCCCGAGGCACTGGAGACCCTCAGGTGGGGCTGGGGGCACGGGGTGGGTGAGCCCGGGTGTGGGGCAATGGAGGGCATGGAGATGTAGGGACCTGGCTAGGGTGGGGGAGGTGGGGGGCTGGCAGCACTGGTCTGGGGGGCTTGGTGAGGCGGTGGGGGGGCTGGTGAGGGAAGGGGGCCAGGCAGGCAGGGCCCCGGGGGCTGGGGGAGGTGGTGGGGGGGCTGTGGGGGGCTGGCACCCAGGCGGGCAGGGCCCTGGGGCTGTTCCCGGAGGTGGTGGACTGGGGGAGGCTGGCACCCAGATTGGCAGGGCCCCGGGGGCTGGGGGAGGCAGGGAGGGACTGTTCCCGGAAGTGGGGGATTGGGGGAGGCTGGCGCCCAGGTGGGCAGGGCCCTGGGGGCTGGGGGGGCTGGCGAGGGAAGGGGCAGGGGGCAGGAGGAGTCTGTGGGGAGCTGGCTGGCGGGGGAAGGGGCAGGGGGGCAGGAGGAGGCTGTGGGGGGCTGGCTGGCGGGGGAAGGGGGCAGGAGGAGGTGGGGGCTGGCGAGAGAGGGAAGGGGGCAGGAGGAGGCGGGAGGCTGAAGGGGACAGGAGGAGTTGGGGGGCAGGCCCCCCCGCCCAGGGTCTCATGGCTCCCCCCCGCCTCCCCCCAGGCTCGGTGGGTTCTACACCCTGCGGCTCCGGCCCGGCCTGCGGCTCGTCTCCCTCAACATGAACTTCTGCTCCGAGGCGAATTTCTGGCTCCTGATCAACGCCACCGACCCGGCCGGGCAGCTGCAGTGGCTGGTGGGCGTCCTGCAGGCGGCCGAGGAGCAGCAGGAGAAGGTGAGGGGCTGGGCCAGGGGCTGCCCCCTTTCTGCCCCACGGCCGGGGCCACTGCGCCCCCCTCCCCCAGTGCTACCAGAGTCACTGCCGGGCCCCCCTCCCTCAGCCCA